GTCCAGGCATTCAAGGACTGGTCTGCCACAGGCAAAAACAATCTCCCTTCCTTAGAAAAATATATAAGGTTAAAAGGCAACCGCACTTTGATGAGTCAAACACAACACAAACACCTGAAGTCATCTACCTTATTAAAACACAATAGCTGCTGTTTGTGCACTTGCGATGTCAGTATACAAGTTCTTGTAAGCCTCAGTCCAATTTACCAGTAAGGAAATTGAGACACAGAAAATTTGTAGAATTTGCTTACATAGTTAACGAAAGTGAAGTCAGGATTTAAACACAATGGGCCTGGTTGTAAAACTGGGATGCTTCACCACTCGCTGAGTGTTTCCAGTGTTATAGCCAAAGCCCAAAGTTTTCAATTAAGTTAGATAATAATCTAGTGGCCTTCTTCAAAAAAGGGGGACTATCTCATTACAAATTAGTACATCATGAAAGGGGCCCCAGGGTACAAAAGAGACCCAGTTACAAGATTATATAATGTATGAAATTTCATTTTCTTTTATCAAATAGTGAAAAGTGCCATTCTGCACATACTGCTTTATAGCTAAACCTTTGTATTTAACTTAATACATGAGGAGCACCACCCCCCACACAGCTGAGCCTCAGCTATGGAGCTTGTACAACATCTGAATGTATATTTAACCTTCCAGATCGATTCTTCTGCAAGTTTTCGCTATCAGGAAACACTGCGGCACCACTAACAGCACATATAAGAGCATTTTTTATTTAAATTGGTTCCCCCTATTTTTTTCTCTTTAAAATAAAATTTAAAAAATAAAAATAACTTACTTCTCCCTTGTCATGTGGTCCCACTCCCAACCAAGAAAATCTCTTTTTCCTCCAACTCTGGTTTTTCCAGGCACTGCTGCGATTACTGCAGTGCAAAAACAGGCCACATCCCTGTTTCCCGAAGCTTCCATTCTGGAGAAAGGGCCAGGGGAAGAAACACAACAAGTAGGCAAGAATCAAGATAATTTATAACAGCAATAAGTGTCGTGAAGAAATTGATGGGTGACGTTATAGCATGGGGCTAGGGACTTTGCTTCTAAACTGGATTACCAAGGAGAGACTCAAAAGGTGACATCTGAGAAATCTCTGCTCTCCACTGCTCCCCTCTTCGCACTGATTGAATTACATCGCCCCTCCACTCTTGTGCTCCGGCAACAGCTGTGGGTGGGACAACACAGAGGACAGTCAGCTTATCGTATCACACAGAGACAGGATGGGCCCCCTGGCCTGCAAGATCAGAGAGCTTTGACGTCTTCCCCCTTCCTTGTGCAAAATCAGCCGTTCTTCCCTTCCTCAGTCACGCACCTGTGTGCACACCCTAAATCCATCCAACTGACCTCCCACCCTGAGAAGCAGATGTTCTATCCCAAATTCAAGTCTCAAAAGTGAGAGTTAAGTATTGGGGAAAATTACTCTGATTGCCGTTGCAGGTAGACATCTTCAAGTGATCGCCAGGAACAAAATGTACTTGGTGAATACAGTTACACAAGATGAGACTACTCAGAGCCCACTTCCCTTGAATTCTAGCAAACAGAAGCCCCCAGAAATCTGTAGCAGGGAGACATGATGGTCTGAAAATAATAGCTACTTCTCCTTTCTCATGATTCCTTCCCCAGCACCAGCTCCTCCTTGAACCAACACTAAGTAAGATCTCTGTTGGAAAAAAGCATGGTATTGATGTAATTATCTGAGCTATATTGAGTTCTCCATAAAAAGCCTCCACCAAGCCCTTCGTCAGCCCCAATTCTTTTCATTGCCCTCCATTTTACAGAGAAGGACACTGAAGCTCAGAGAGGCTGAATAGTTTAACACAAAGCCAGACGTGGGGGGAGAAGGTGGTCAGAGAGAGGACTTGAACAGCCCGGTTAACCACCAAGACAACACTTGATTGATTCCGATCCTCTGAAAGACTTGCCCAGGGTCTCACGGATAGTCAGTGAGAGGGATCAGTTAGGTAAGCTAGGCTTAGCTGCCATAGCGAACAGCCCCAAATCTCAGCAGCTTGATGCCCCCAGATGGTGGTTTCATCCTCAGCCTATGAATGCAGCACGGGACCTCTGCTCATTATAATCACACAGGGAGCAGGGCTGATGAAGGCTCCATCTCAACCCACGCTTCCACCATCAACAAGGCAGAACAAGCAGTCTTCAGGATTGGCTCATAAAGCATCCACCCAAAGCGCCACATGTCACTAGTGCTCATGTATTTTTGAACAAAGCGAGTCACAGAGCTACACCTGACCTCAGGGAGCAGGAAAGACGTGACAGGGAGATGACTTCGTTAGTGTCACTAATGGTTTCCCCACCTGGCTGTAGGGAAGGAACGCCGGCTTGCTCTGTCTGCCCTTTGCCGTGAGGCGTGTGGTGGACAGCGCAGCTCAGGAGGTCTTATTCTTTCCTCCTTCTATTGATCTTCCTTTTGGTTTATTTGCTACTGAAAATGAAACATCAGAGAGTCTGATTCCGTCTAACCAGGGCTTTTCTTTATCAGTGTCTTTGCCAGTGCCAGGGTTCGGAGCTTTTGAAGGTCTGTGGGAATCGTGAAGCATTTTCAACTTATTTAGCCTGCTTCTTGAAGTTGCAATAGATTTCAGGTCATCTTGGCAGTCAGCATTAGTGGAAAACTTCCATCTTTCCGATTAGACCTGAATATTTAAGATTTTGAAAGCTTGGCCGGGACCAGATTTAATTTTAAAGGGGGAAGGGGGCTGCTTTTGAACTTCAAGAAGAAGGCTGGCAGCTCAGCAGGGGCCGCCTTAGCAAAAGGAAAAGTAAAAAGCCCTGTGGTCTTAAAAGAAACCCTGCTCCAACACGGAAACGCTAAAGCTTCCAGTTGGTGAGCCTTAAATCAGACTTCAAAAGCGCTGCTAGTTTAAATATTGTTTATAGGACTGAAGTACTGCTCCTTCTTCCTCTGGCTTGATTTTAAATATTCCCTAATTTGATTACACTGGGGAGAGGCAAGCAGAACTCACTTAAATGAGCTTCTCAGTTAATTATTCAGAGGGCTTTTTATTGTGTAATCAAACATAAAGTCTTACAAAAAGCTTGGAGGCATGTTCTCACCCCACCCTTCCCAGCCCAATTTCCGCCTTGGGGTCTGTGTGTGCATCTTGTGTCCTGGCTGTGAGCTGGTAGATGTTCAGCAAGGTCCTGCTTGTGGGGAAAGCACGCCCCTCTCCTCCTGTGGACTCGTAAAAGCCTATGGTTCTGTCCCTCCAACTCCCATGCCATGAGAAATCAGCCTTCAATTAGGTTTTATCTCTCTCACATTTTGCCTCCTATATTTAAGCCCATTCACCTACTACCAGCAATCAGCAGCTCCTGACAAGTCTAAACCTCTCTGAGTGATCAAAATTGGTCCGTTCATCTCATTTCAAGTTCCTGCTCTGTACTAGGTGAGAACCAGTGAAATGATTGAAAAGATCCAAGCTATCTGAAACTCTTTTCTGCAGAGAAAAAGAAGAACAAAAAGAGATGGATAGAGGATGGATGGATGATGGATGGATGGATGGATGGATGGATGGATGGATGGATGGATGGATAGGTGAATGGATGAATGGATGGATTAGTCAATCAACAGAGAGATCACACACTGAGACTCTAATTGCTTCTCTGTGGAAAGCCAATTCTACCATAGTCAGAAGTCCACTCTAAAGACACTGAAAACTACAGCAAAATTGGATATGAACTAGACTGATTTGGTGGCAAAACCTTACTTGAAGCTATTTAGAGTCTTTATTTATCTCACTGAATATAAATAGTCATGTATTTTTTCACAAAAATATTATCATGTTTGATTATAAGATGTTTCCCTAGACCCTGTTGGAAGGCTTATGATAATATATGATATATGTGGCAGTTTTTGTCTGAAATACCAAAATTATGAATTTGCAACACATTTGGTGCCACAGGTTTAGGTAAGGAATTACAGGCTTGTCACCCACAGAGGCTGCAGGGGCTTTGGTTTCCCATCCAGAAAGTTCCCCAACCCAGGAGAGTAGGATCCAGGTTGTATAGGACCTGAGCTTATTTAACTGGGGAGAAAGGCACTTAAAAAAACAAAAACACAAGATCACAATATGAAATTATTGGCACAATTCTGAGGCAGAGGCCCACATAGGGAAGGGGCCCTGAAACTAACTTCATTTGTTGCATTCTAAATCTGCTTGTGACTGAGTGGCTTAAGCCCCCAAGTGTGCTTCCTCCTCTGCAGAATGGGCTGATGATGACTGTGTCACAAGGTTGTAGTGACTGAGATGGTGAGATGAGAACCAACACACAGAAGTGTCTTCTTGCACAGGACTTCCTAGAGAACTTTAGCTCCATAAACCACAAACCAGTGATTTTTCATCACCCAGCCCACCCCATGCACCCCACCCAATCCCACTCAGAGTACTTACTGAGTCCCTGATAGTACGACCTTAGTCAATGGAAAAGGCAAAGATTTAGAAACGAGCACCCTTTTCAGTTCACTCCCAGGTATAACCTCACATTTGCCCTGGAGTTCATCGTGTTAATGGAAACATCAGGCTGGGTGGAATACTCTAGGGAGTAGTGAGGTCTGTAGCAAACTAAAACGCTGCAGCGCAACTAAAGAGAAGACGTCTGCTTAGCTCTAGCTCATTTTGCTAAATGAGAGTGAGAGCCCAGGGCTTAGCATTTTCAAGAAAATTTGTGTTTTCAATTTGTGTTTCACCACCAAAGTGCAAATAGACGTAGAGTGCATACAAATATAACCCACCTCCCTCCACCCTCGCTCAGTAAGCAGTGGTCTCTACTGTCCTTGATTCCCCTCAAAAAACTCAGCTAGAGAGAATTACACCCCTCCCCCTGCTTCTGCCAAAGTATGGGAGGGTAGGGAGGGGAGCATACCAGAGACCAGACACCATTCATCGTCTATTTATTGCATTTGTTAAAAACAAAAACTTATGATAAACAGAGGCTCTGCAAACGGAAAACTCATTAAGCTGTTTCTCACTCAGGGACCCAGGTGGAAGCAAGAGCTCCATAAAAAAAGTCAATAAGGACAAATCCAGGGAACAGAGGTGGGAGCACTTCATCACGGCATCAAAGGTAACCGGCAGCGCAGGACTCTGCCATTTGGGGGCCTGGCCCCGGCCTGTGTTGGGGAGCACTGTTGCCAATCTTTTCTCTGCTGGGAAACTTTCTTTTCCTTCTGGTTGGTTTTCTGAGTGAAGAAAAGTCAGAGCACATGCTGTTAGATGGTTTTTGTAAATTTTAATTAAAATGGTTATCTGGGGATTATAGGAAAAGTGACATTTGGCTGGACGTCCCTTGATAGAGAAAGGAGAGGGTGCTGAGCAGCTGCTTAATAAGATGTCACCAGAAGGAAGTGGACTCACCTCGCTCTATCTTTTAAATCAATAAGAATTCTCTC